GAGGAAGAAAGGGGGCAAAAAGAAGTTAAAAAATATTTTTTTAATTAAAAAAAAAAAGAAAAAAATATATATATATATTAGACTGGTGAGCAGAACAGGGCTACCCATCTTAATTTTGGGAGTATTTTGGTCTTTTAGAAGAAACTACCTCCCAAAATTTTAAAGAAAAAAAATACACACACACACACACACACACACACACAAATATGAGGGTAAACATGATGAAGGGATGGAAGATTACTATAAAGATGAAAATTTAAAAAAAATTCAAAAAAGGAGTTGATAAGTTGGTTGGTAAAAGAATGTAAAAGAAAGTGGAGAGAATTTGCTCAGGCTGGAGACTAGAACAAAACCCTGTGCTAGATTTAGGGTATATTTTGATCTATCAGAAGAAGTTGTATCCCAAAATTTTTTAGAAGAAAAAACCCTATGTGTATACAAAAAATAAACTTAGATACAAAGAAGGATAAAATATGAGTATAATAAGGTTCAAAAAGATTTTTTTTAATGAAACATATTGTTAAGATAAACTAGTTAAATATGTTACAAGAGGAAAGAGTAAAAGTTAAGAAAATTAGAATAAGAAAAAAATAAAGTTAAAAAAATTAATTAACTTTGCAAGACTAAAGAATCATGGGGAGAAAGCCATGAATTCCATGCTTTGCTTTCTCCTCCTCTGGAATTCCACTGTTCTCCTTGATAAGTGAACTTGGTCTTGACTGGATTTCTTGCTGATCTTCTAGGGGAGGGGCCCGTTGTAGTGATTCTCAAGTGTCTTTGCCTGAGGTGGAATTGCACCACCTTTGCCATGGGCCCAGCTAAGTAATCTGCTCAGGTTCGCTCTTGTTCCCTGAACGCTTTCTGCTTTCCGTAGAGCTCTGGAGGACAGGAATGAAAATGGTAGCCTCCCAGTCTCTGGCCTGGAGGAGCTGAGAGCTATTGGCCACACTCCTCAGTGTGCCCTCGGAGAAAAGTGCCCAATCACTCCCGTCTCCCTGACCTCTGGCAGCCCTCCGAGCTCACCCAGCCTGTGACCAAGCGTCTCTATCTCTGGCACAAAGCCCCACCTGGAGTCTCCAAACCCAGCAGATCCATGCTGCTCTTCCAGGGGGTTCTTCCTGGATCTGCCACTCGTGGGGTCCCTGCTTAAAGAGCAGTGGCCTGTGCCACAGATCAGTTTAAGGTAACCCCGAGTTGAGAGCTCAATCCTCAGCTCTGTCTCTGTAGCTGGCTTCCCCGCTCTAATACCCGCAAGTTCTGCAACAGGCACCCCCGATCCTTCTGTAACCCCGCGGGACCTGAGACCACGCTGTCCCCGCATGGACTCCACCCCAGCTTAGCCTCTGGAGCGATGTCCCTCAGTGGAGCAGACTTTTAAAAGTTCTGATTTTGTGCTCCGTTGCTCTGCCGCTTGCTGGGAGCCAGCCCCATCCCCCGTGGTCTAGCTTCCAGTCACTTTGGATTCCCTTCTCCGCAGGTCCTACCTTTCAGAAAGTGGTCGATTTTCTGTTTGTAGAATTGCAGCTTTTCTTCTATCTCCTGTTGGATTTGTAGGTGTTTGGAATGGTCTGATAAACTATCTAGCTGATCTCCTGCTACCTGATGTAGTCTCAGCCTGCTACTTCTCCGCCATCTTGACTCCTCCCCCCATCTCACAGGTTTTTAATGTGTTTTCATTATCATTAAATTTTAAGATGTCCCTCATTTCTTACTTGATCCATAGAAAGAACCTTCATGCACTGTTGATGGGAAAACAAACTGGTGCAGCCTTTGTGGAAAACAGTTTGGGTGTTCCTCAAGAAATTAAAAATAGAATTACCACATGATTCAGTAATTCCACTACTGGATATGTGTGTGTGTGTGTGTGTGTGTGTGTGTGTGTGTGTGTGTGTGTGT